CACGTTCTGTCGTTTCTCTAGGCCTACCGCTTCCTTTTTGACGCTGTGTGTGGGGCCTTGATTCACCCATTCCTGCCAACATCGTCTAATAGTAGCATCGCTCCTGCTCAAATGTCGAGCTATTCGCCGATAAGACCAACCGGCTTCTTTGAGCCCAGCTACACGACCTCTATCAAATTCTGACATCTGCGCGTATCGTTCGCGCACCTGTATGCGAGGCATAGTTACTGTCTACTGAGTACACGGAATGAAATTCGTGAAGAATTTATGACCTCGAATCGTAATTTCTCCTCTTAAATATCCTACCAGTTGGCGCAGATCAGATGCGCTGTATCGACAACCGTTCATCCATTGGCAGCCGAAATGTAAAATTTTGCCCTTTCCGTCGAAACCTCTATGCATATAAATTTGTGTCCAATTTGCTGTATATCTTCTTGGTGCGTCGTTTTTTTTTTTTTTTTTTTTTTTTTTTTTTTTTTTTTAAAGAGTGTATATTTATATTATAAAAAAGAACAAAACATAAAAAAAACTGAATAAGAAACAAGAAACACAAGAATGACAAGAAACACGAAGAATTATCTAAAAACTGTAATGAGGCTTCCGGTTGCATTCTTCGATGAGTAAAAAAGATGCTATAAGAAAATTCTTTCCTGATTTTGTTTATATATTAAATACAGTTTATTTAATTTATTGTATGTGGAATTTAACTGTATACGGAGTACATTTAAATTCTGTTCACAATTTTAAAATGTAATTTGTTTCTTTAACATCTTCCTGTGATGGTTTAATCTACTTCCAACTAAATTATTAATTTAAGTTTATGATGGAATACATTATATGTTTAATTATATAGAGAAATCTATCAATGCATCTTTCTACCAAGGAAGAAGTAGATAAAAAGCAACAGAAAGGTATTGCGAAATTAGAAGGAAAAAAAAAATAACAAGGATAGTGAGAGCAGTTTTCTCATACATTATTCTTACATTTGATGCAAACGTTAAAATATCAATAAAAAGTGAATGAAGTGAATTTCCAAGTTATAAAAAAAAGTAAGTATAACAGAACTTCCACAACTGTTTCTTAAAAACACTAATAATTTGTGAGTAATCAACGGTTCATTATTAAAGTAACAAATTAATCATAATTTTGTGAATGCTCAAAGGTTTATCAGAAAGAACCGTCTCATTTATTAATGAAAACTACTTGGTACAAAAGGTTTTACAAAGTTCTTTGCGAAAGTACTTAAGTGTCTGAAAGGAATGCCTATAAGGAAGAATTCCTTCTAACTGCGTCCTTCCTAATAATGAACTGTTTACAACGGTAATTCGATCCGGTTTCCAATCCGCCGAATAGGTAGGGGTTCCTGGTTTTCCTTACTGTAACCTGAATACGGGCTATTTCCTTCAAAAAAATCTTCAAGAGGCATTCCTCTGCTAAAGCAGATTACATTTATATGCTTTATCACAAGCAATCAAACAAACAAACAAAACAAAAGAAAACAAAAATAAATAAATAAGCAAGAAAACCTGAGCATGAAGATCGGAAGAGATAAGATTGTCATGGTGTTGGGGTACATTTCAGACCTAAGGTGATATTACGAAGGCAGATTTCAGATGTCTTTGCTATTTATACATTTTTCTGGTGTTTCATTCTTGGCCCAAGTAATTATTATCTATAAAATAATTAGAGCTATTCAATACCTAGTTAATTAGAAAATTATGCACTTCCAGTATTGTAATAATGCTTGGGATAGGTTACTATCTCAAGAGTTATCCCAGGTCACTATCCAAATTATCATCAAAATATCTCACCATGCAATACTGTTTTTTTTTGTTTTTGTTTTTTTTTTAATTTGGCATTGCTAAAACATTTGCTAAAACAATTTGGCATTGCTAAATTGTTTCGCCATTTAAAAGAGTTCTGGAATTGGAAGTATACGGCTACTACCTACGATTACGAAAATAAAGGTCGGGTAAGAACATTTACGAAAATGAAGGCCGGCTAAGGGGGTGGGTATATATGCTACAGCATCGATAATGAATGCAATGTGCAGAACATAGTTTTTACTGTCCAATCATGGTATTTTAATTTTGTGCTTCTCGATGGGTCTCAAAGTTGGAAATTAATTATATATATATATATATATTTTACTTCCTTGTAAGAAGAAATGGAAGTATTGTAATCGCAAAAATTTCAGGCATTATATTTTAACGACAATATCCGTTTTGATCGCTCTCGAATTCGTTTGAATGATTTGGGGGGGGGGACATCTGTACGCACGAATAGAATAAAAGACTTTTTTTTTCCAAAACGGATTATAAAAGGGATAATGAATTCAGAAGAGACTTTGTTTCGTGACGATTGTACTTAGGTACATATGTATCTCGCATACAACGATTAGCGGTAGAACGTTGAAATTTTGTGTATGGGAATGCTATAACATGTAGTTGTGCCCCTAACACTTTAGATGTAATCGGCATAGGCGCACAACAACATGTTATAAATATCCCATATACAAAATGTCAACGTTCTATGACTACTCATTCTTAAGTTAAGCGAGAAACATACGTGTGTAAGTAGAGATGTCACAAAAGCAAAGGCCTTCTGAATCCGTTTTAAATCCATTTTATAAATCGCTTTGGAAAAAAAGTCCTTTATTCTGTCCGTGCGTACAGATGCGCCCCCCCCCAAAAATCGCCCAAATGAATTCGAGAGCGACCAAAATGGATATTTTTGTTGAAATATGATATCCGAAATATTTTGTGATTACAATACTTATTTTTCTTCGTACAGGAAAGTATAAAATATTTTTTAAATATCTGAAACTTTCTAGCGGCTTTTTTTAACGTTTGTGCTGCCTTTATTTACCATATTCTTCGCCTTTAAACCATGAAATTCAATTCATCAGCAATATCAGAAAATAATTTTAAAAGAGCATATCTTTAGAATTTCCGACACGCAGTCTCGCGCGCTAGAGATAAAATTGTTTTTCTTTCCGTACAGTGTTGTCATTACTCGCTTTGAAATCATTGAGTTTCTTAATCAAAAACTCATAAATGCTTTACAAAATATGAAATCGATAATAAAACAAACTCGAAATTCTAAAGTCGAGGTTCCAAATGCCCATGTTCGGATAGAGGATTACGTTATTCAGAATTTGGTGGCTGAAAGTACCGTTGTTTGTTCACAATGCGAGAAACATACATACGTTTATGCAAATTATTCATTATTCAATTTATTTATATATAATACAGGGCGATAATATTTGGTGGCAACAATTTAAAAAGCGATACGCCGTTTTTAGTAAACCGAGGCAAAATGCCGCTTCGAGACTAATAGCGCTTCTGGTCTAACGCTGCTTTTGACTAAAAAAGGAAAAAAAAAAAGGGAACCTATCGTTAATTTTCAACCTTGAAAATCATCGAGAAGCAGAATTTTAAAATATCATTTTTAGTCAATAAAACGCATTCATTATTATTATTATTCTGGGCATTGCATTTCATTATCGATGCTGTACAGGGTGTTTCAGCAAATCGGTTTTAAATTTTCAGGAAGAGATAGTACACCTTATGATGTAAATGAACCAGAAGAAAATAAACAATATTTTCACACTCCCTTCCGAGGACTAAGGTATAATATTAATACTTTTGTTATTTTTTTGTTTTGCATTATGATCAAAGCTTAAAATGCATTTATTTTTGATAAATATATTAGAACTATAGTGTAGATCGGCGTTTCAGCGAAAACTAAGATACAAGAACAAAATCAGAGGATCGTCATCAAGGAAGGTATTCGAAACGTCTCCTCAATCGGCAGGGGTGATCCGGTGCAATGGCCAGCAAGATCGCCAGACCTCACTTGCATTGACTATTTCCTCTGGGGGAGCGGTTCGTCAAGACGCTATACGAAATCCCGTTAACAAGGCTGAGGAACTTGTTGCACGTATCGTGGCACTGCTGGGGAAGTCCGGTACACACCCGGTATTTTCCAGAACACCAGCTATTCTATGCGCCGGAGATATGAGGTCTGAATCACTGTCCGGGATCGTCATTTCCAACACCTTTTCTGATGATAATTTTTGTACTTACTTCTTGGTTTCTGCTGCACTAAGCATAATAAACATGTTTTCCCACTCTGTTCGTGTCCTTCCGTTCTTGTGTTTTATGTTGTCACTACAGCTCTTTTCTGACCATGCACTGCTATGTGACTTTCCATTGTCTAGGTGTACTCTATCTCTCTTGAAAGCTTGTAACCGATTGGCTGAAACACTTTGTACGTCCAAATATTACTTGAGTTTCATTAATAACTTTTCTGAGTCCTCTGCTCAAACAGGCTGTCCTCTCTCAGTTTTCATTTTACATATTGTAGAATCAAAACAATAAGCATAAAACTGCTTAAGAATGAATTAGCTTATGTACGTCGTACATTGTTAGTTTCTCATATGAATATTTTATTAAAAGTAAAAGCGTGTCATTTAAAATTAATGATTTTAAATTAAATGCAAAAAGGCAATCGTAGTTTGGCATAGACTTGGATTAAGACTGTATCGATTTTGAAGGATATATATGTAGGCCTCTCCCTAATTCAGGAGCAAAAGATTTTATTTACCTTATGTCAGTTTCTTGCTTCATTTTCCAAATAAAGTTTGTAGTTGAACGAGTAGTTTTTCGAAACTCTGTCCTATCGTATATAAATTTAATTTGAAACTTGTATTAATAGCTACTCTTAAGGTTGTTTTTAAAACATATAGTAATTTCCTTTTGTTAAACAAATCGCGTCCTAAATATTGTTATACTGAGCTATGGATTTTAAACTGTAGACGATAAATTGCAAATTCATTAAAGCAAAATTTAATTGTACATTACCGGAATGGCAACAGTAAAAGATATTCTATTGACATATCACGCAATCACACAAGTTATAATTTTATCATAGAATCTTTAGTGTTTTTAATTTATTAAAATTTTAAATAAATTGTATAAAATTTATCAAAATGATTATTTTATTTGAAGTTTTATTTACAGAATCATTACGGATGCCAAAAAGGAACATCTCGACATGAAATAATTTAACTGTTAGAATGTGAAGATACAAAGTAAGTCGTCACTTAACTTTTTAGTATTGCTCTGCTATTTATATGAAATAAATGTTTAATGTCAAAGAAATAAAAAACAAGTTTTGAAATTTGTCGCAGAAGAACTGGACAAATATCGCTGTTAGTTCTAAGATAATTGGTAACAAATAACGTATTTTAAAATCCTCGGTCCAGTTCCGTAAATTTTGAAGTTATAAAACTGATATAAAAGAATATACAGTGGCTCAAATTTGTTTTCGGACACTTGTGTTTTTGAAATTTATTTGCAAAATATTGGAATACTTCTACACTTTTTTTCTAATGTATTATTTTTTCTCTGTTCTAAGATTTGCTTATTACAAAATTATTATCATCAAAATATTCTTTGCAATGAAATAATTGATTTCTAAAGTATTAATCAGTAAACTTACATAATAATTTGGGAGCACGAAACCAACAACAATTTTTTTTGTAACATTTTTTTGTTTTAAATGAAAATGCGTGACAAAAATTATCGTCAGCATTTATAAATTACTGCTTTAGCAAAATATAATAACAGTACCATATCTGAAAGTCATAGAAAGACGCTACAAATTAACGAAAACTATTCATGATTTTAAAAAGGATAAAAATAGTCAAAGTATTCAAAGCAAAATTCTTGTAAACTATTTCTGATATATTAAAAGGGTGGAAATTAGGCAAAATTGTTCAAAATGCAATAAAGTTTGATTCACATTCTAAGTCAATAGAGAGGAATCGAAGATTTATCTTTCAAAAAATCCTGCAAAACCCAAGATAGAAAGAATCTGCAAGAAAATTTAGAATGCAAAGTATACATTCAAATTCTGTCAGGGTTACAGTCTTAAACACAGAACCCTAAATATTCGTTTATGGTTATTACTGTACAATTATACTTAAGTTATCAGAGTTCCATCCACTTCGGACTTATAATCTATCGAATATGCATGGAGTGAGTTGGAGAAAAGAATCAGTAAGCATGATATGTCTCTGAAAGCACTATTAAAAACGATTCATATGGAGGAATCTTGTTCTACAATTAGTTAATTTCATGCCAAAGTCCGTGGAAGGTGCATTTTCACCCAAAGAGTAGCCTAATGAAATGTTGAATATCCCGTTATATTCATTTTATTAAATATAAATTGCATGTTTAAAGTGTTCGAATATTTATGAGACTTTATTTTCAGAACTTTCCGAATAAAGACTTTTTTTTTTACCAAAAATGTTTCGAATAACTATTTCGAAAACTAACATGTTTTAAAAAAGATGACCATTAGTATGTGAAAAAGAAAAGCAAACAAAGTAATATCCCTAGTATTTAGTAACAGGTATTTGCAAATAAATCTGAAAAATACAAGTGTCGAAAAACAAATATGAGCCATAATATTTTAGAATTTCATTCCGCTGAGTTTAAGGTAAACTGGTATAAAAGGTTATATTTAAAAAGAAATTTGATTTTGCTAAAATATTTAAGAATAATCTAATTAATCAATACTGAATCACAATAATAATAAAAATCCTGCTTAAAAGTACTATCCGGCACCTCCTCGACTTACCAAAAATTGCCTTAATCATTTAGGGAGATCTCTTCGGGGGAAAACTTTCAAACTGAAAGTGGCTTGTATTCATGTTATCAATGGGAAAACTTTGTGCGGTTAATCCTGTTATAGAGAGTTTGGAACAAGCTACCAGCATTCGGCAATTCTTTCCAAACTAGCAATGGCTATATGAGAGTGTTTTCCCGTTTATCTGAATACAATAAAGCAGAAGACAGTGTCTATTTAGGGAATATGCCCGTGGAAGAACTCTTTCAAGGAAGTTTAGTTCATGTTTACATTACGCATGAGTAAAATCATGAAAACCTTCCAAACATGAATATTCACTCCATAAAACAGGAATTGAATAATTAAATAATTCTTAGAAAAACTTATTGAGATTTTGCTTCAATAAATGAAAAATTAAGTTGCCAAATAACGCTTTGAAAATTAGGGTAATACCTTTCTACATGAATTGCATTACAGTTCATAGTATTTTATTATTCTGGATGTAAACTACAAATAAAAGTTGCTATAAAGGTTAAAATGTTATGATCTAAAATATTGATTGAGCATAAAAATGTACAGGTATAGTTGATTTGGTCTTCATATTTATCATCTTGCCTTAGGTGAAAATACACTTAGTCACGGCTATGTTAAATGCTATGCCCTCTGGATTCATATTTTGACAAGCCTTTACATTTTATAAGCCGCAGATTTTGCTTTCTTTGAACAGTGGAAATATTAACACCTGCTTCGGATGTTAATAAATATCGCCGTTGCTGATTTGAAAGGAAAAGGAAAAACGTTGTTTTCTTTGTAAAGAAAGATATGGATTATCGGTTACTAGTTTCTTAAAAAATATCTAGACATCTGAAATCATTCAATAATAACATACAAAGTTCTACATTTGCTTAGCGTTAATAATGATGAAGACAAACGATTCTGTAGCAAGTGTACATAATACATGGCGTTAGAAACACTTGTTATTAATTACAGTAAGGCTGTAAATATTCATAAAACTATCAGTGTGGCATATTATAAATTAAACATATTTTAATTTACATCTATTAAACATATTTCTAAAAAATAAAAAAAATAAGAAGAAACTCATTTAATACTTTTAAAACACTGTATTTTTTTAAGCAATTGCAGATTTATTTAATTTGAAAGATAAATAAAAGATTGATGACGTTTCGCAGCACCATAAAATTACATATGCGCGAAGTCACGTGGCAACAGTTGCGAGCTTTCTTGTAAGCTTTTCGCATAGTGGCAAGACCTTGCAAAAGCATGCAGATACACGGTAAATATAATATAAATGTCTCAAAATCTTAGAAATCTGCTAAAGATGTTTCTGACCCAAAATGCTTAATAACGTTTCAAAAATAAAATAATACGTGAGCCTGACTCAGTGTTGAGGTGATATTCTGTAGTTAAAGGGCACAACTTTAAAATAAATTTTAAAGTATTTAACCCTATTTTTATTTAAAATTTATTTTAAATCCGAGCTTATAAAGAAACTATATTTTTCAAAGACTTAGTAAAAAATTATTGTATCTTTAAAAAAAAAAAAACTCAATTTTTTTTAAAAAACGTCTTCATTTAGGAAACAAATAGTTACAGGACATATCTCATAGTTTCTGTGATTTTAGCTATAACGGCACACTATGTTTTTTTTTTTTTTTTTTATGTACGAGACATTATGGACATGACAACGACCTTTTGCCCTCTAAACAGCGCTTTTTGACATGGCCATCATAATGTTTATGCTAGCAAAAAGTGCTTTCCGATTTAGCACATGATACCATTAAGCAATAATAACGTAAATCCAGCGTCATATAGAGCTTTAATTCGAGCTTATTACTCGCCCTCCTCGTGCCTATCTTCACGCCAATGAAGCAATAAAGAAGTCACTGCGAATTCATTGAACCATTGCCGATTGCCTCCTTGCGCAACAGTGTGAATAGTTTCGCAAATAAATATCTTCACTTCCCCCCTCCCTCCTTTCCCAAGAAAGAGGGAAACTAGTAACTGGCGGGGGTAATTTCAAGTTTCATATATTGAAGTAAATGGAATACCACATCCGGGATATTCATTTCTCATGATGATAAGTGCTTAGGTAATTTAGATTCTAATTTCAGTCACTGTCTCATCAGATTAAATCTGCTAGAATAAACACAGTAGCACTTCATGCAGAAATTGTGCTTATCACTTAAAAAAGCTCTCTTTCCTTCATTTTAGAACATATTACTTATAAAAACCAAAACTGAAGTTTGTAAATTAAGTATATTACATAGAGATTCTTTTATTTTAATTGCTTAAAAATTAATCAATAGTGTGTAGCAAAGAAAATTTTCGTTTCACACATTTTATTGGAGTAAGACTTGTATAATCTTCTTTACTACAATTCTCAGTATAACTTTCTGTCTGAGTTATCATTTCTCTTTGATAAATTCTACCAGCATTCTTTAGAATGGTTTCTTTTCAGAAGATTTCCTGAAATTTTGTAAAAAGCCTATGAATAGAAATCGGTGTTTTCGCAATATATATAAGCAATAAAATCGCAATCAATGATTAGAAAGATGTCAGAATTAAGTATTAAAAGGACTCATTGTGATGCGTACGGGCTTTAAACGGCGAAATAGTCGAGCATCACTGTTATGTAATACTGTTTCTTACGAGTAATTTTGATTATCAGTTATTCACTGTTTCTTAATTTTGTTTTCCAGTAACTGAATTTTATTAATTTGATTTTATTTGTTCAGTTTAAAAGTTTAAAGTAATTGTTGTTAGTTAAATCATTTTTAAGCTGTAATTGTTGACTTTAAATTTAAATTTGGTCGTGTTAATCTTTTTATCCTTTAAAGTGAGGTTTGATTTTAATTTTTGTGTTTAAGAACTTAAATTTAGTTATCTGGTTTTATTTTACTGTTTGGTTTGAGGTTGTTATGGATAGACTTAAGGTTATTTAACTTTTCAATTTTAAAGTTTTCTGTTTGTTACTCTAGTTTGGTCTGTAAATTTAATTGTTTTTTTTTCCTGCTAAAGTTTATGAATCCGTATTTTCTGACTCTGGTGGTGAATTCGAGCGAAGTATTGAAGAAACCTGATTTTTAGAAATGGTTACTGATCCGAATAACTGTGTAACTATAGTATTTCAACAGTATAATGAAAACATTTTTGCATTTGATTGAATTAAAACTTCAAGTACTAGATTTGATATTCAGTACCTCTAATTTGTTTAGTTATGAAAGTTATGTATTAGAATTAACTTCAGTGCCTTGTGTTAACACTATTTTTCCAGCAAGTTGTTGGAATGAAAAACATTCCTATTTTCTCAAAATTTATTAAAAACTATTTCTTTTTATCTTTAGCAAACAGCGACTTTTTTGTCAAACGTTTATCCATATGGAATATTTGCACATTCTGCACCCTTGACTCTCGAGTTATTTTATATGTAATTTT